TGCTGCTGCTGCTGCTGCTGCTGTGTTGCTGCAGCAGCAGCAGCAGCAGCAGCAGCAGCACAGCGTGAAGGCGCTCAGTGTATTGGACTTTAGGATTACACCCAGAGGGCTGCAGCAGCAGCAACTGCTTGCTCGCCAGCTGTAATTGCTGAGGACTTTTGCTGCAGCAGGAGCAGCAGCCCGGGTAGCAGCAGCAGCAGCAACAGCAGCAGCAACTGTAGTAGCAGCAACAGCAGCAGCAACAGCAGCAGCAACAGCAGCAGCAACAGCAGCAGCAACAGCAGCAGCAACAACAGCAGCAACAGCAGCAGCAGGAAAATGTTTGACTCCAGCGACAGCAGCAGAAGCAGCTGCAGCAACGAGGAAGACAGCGACCACAGCAGCAACAGCAGCAACAGCAGCAGCAACCAGAGCAGCAACAACAGCAGCAGCAACAAAAGAAGCAGCAGCAGCAGCAGCAGCAGCAGCAGCAGCGATGAAGCATCCTCAGATGACTGCAGCAGCACAATCTCAGATTCTGTTGACAGCAGCAGCATTGGGGGCAGCAGCAGCCCCGTCGCAGCAGCAGCAGCAGCAGCAACAGCAGCAGCAGCAGCAGCAGCCAGACCAGCTGTTCAGCATTGCAGCAGCAGCAGCAACAGAAGCAGCAGCAGCAACACAAGCAGCAGCAACGCCCTTGAGGCAGCAATCGCAGAAACCTCGCCAGCAGCAGCAGCAGCAGCAGCAACAGCAGCAGCAGCAGCAGCAGCAGCAGCAGCAGCAGAAGCAGCAGCAGCAGCAGCAGAATTAAAGAGTTCAACAGAAGCAGCTAGCGAAAGCACTGAAGCAAAAAAGGCAGCAGCAGCAGCAGCAGCAACAGCAGCAGCAGCAGCAGCAGCAATCCCCTACGTCGTTGCCAACGCAGCAACAGAAGCAGAAGAAGAGACTGCAGCAGCAGCAGCAGCAACAGAAGCAGCAGCAGCAGCAGAAGCAGCAGCAGTAGCAGCAGCAGCAAATGAAGCTGCTTTGGCGCAGGTTCAAGCAGCAGCAAAACCTGCATCAGGGGAAGCTGCAGCAGCAGAAGCAGCAGCAGCAGCAGAAGCAGCAGCAGCAGCAGAAGAAACAGGAGCAGCATCAGCAGCAGCAGAGGCAGCAGCAGAAGGTGCTGAGGCAGTAGAAGGAGCAGCAGCAGAAACAGCAGCAGCAAATGCAGCAGCACCAGAAACAGCAGAAACAGCGGCAGCAGAAACAACAGCAACAGCAGCAGCAGAACCAGCAGAAGCAGCAGCAGCAGCAGCAGCAGCAGCACCAGAAGCAGCAGCGGAAAAAGCAGCAGCAGCGGAAGCAGAAGCAGCAGCAGCAGAAAGAGCAGCAGCCGCAGAAGCAGCAGCTGAAGAAGAAGCAGCAGCAGCAGAGGCAGCAGCAGCAGCAACAGAAGTGAAAGCAGCACCAGCAGCAGAGGCAGAAGCAGAAGCAGCAGCAGCAGCAGCAGCAGCCGCTTCCCCAGAAGCAGCAGCAGAAGCAGAAACAGGAGCAGCAGCAGAAGCAGCGACAGAAGCAGCAGCAAAAGCAGCAACAGAAGCAGCAGCAGAAGCAACAGCAGCAGCAGCAGAAGCAGCAGAAGCTGGTGAATCAAATACAGCAGCAGCAACAGCAGCAGACGCAGCAGCAGCAACAGAAGCAGCAGCAGCAGGTGCAGCAGCAGCAGAGGCAGAAGCAGCAGCAGCTACTGAAGCAGCAGGAACCGAAGCAATAGTAGAAGAAGCAGCAGCAGCAACAGAAGCAGCAGCTGCAGGAGCAGCAGCAGCAGAAGCAGCAGCAGCAATACAAGCAGCAGCAGCAGCAGCAGCAGACGCAGCAGCAACAGACGCAGCAGCAAACGAAGCAGCAGCGGACACACCAGCAGCAGCAGATGCAGCAGCAGCCGAAGCAGCAACAGCAGGTGCAGCAGCAGAAGCAGCAGCAACAGCAGCAGCAGCAGCAGAACAAGATGCACGTGAAGCAGTAGCACCAGAAGCAGCAGCAGCAGCAGAAGCAGTAGCAGCAACACAACCAGCAGCAGCAGCAGAAACAGCAGCAGCTGAAGCAGCAGCAACAGGAGAAGCAGCAGCAGCAGAAGCACCAGGAACACCAGCAGCAGAAAAGGAAGCAGAAGCAGCAGACGTTGCAGCAGCAGAAGCAGCAGCAGCTGCTGCAGCAGAAGCAGCAGACATTGCAGCAGCAGAAGCAGCAGCAGCTACTGCTGCAGCAGAAGCGCGAGAACCAGCAGCAGCAGCAACAGAAGCAGCAGCAGCAGCAACAGCAGCTGCAAACGAAACAGCTGCAGCAGAAACAACACCAGCACTAGAAGCAGCAGAAGCAGAAACAGCAGCAGCAGAAGCAGCAGCAGATGCAGCAGCAGCAGCAGGACCGCCAGCAATAGAAGCAGCAGATGCAGCAGCAGCAGAAACTGCAGCAGCAGAAGCAGAAGCAGCAGCTGCTGCTGCAGCCGAAGCAGCAGCTGCTGCTGCAGCAGAAGCATCAGCAGCCGCAGGACCGCCAGCAGTAGAAGCAGCAGCAGCAGAAGCAGCAGCAGCAGAAACTGCAGCAGCAGAAGCAGTAACAGCAGCAGCGGCAGCAACAGAGGCAGCAAAAGCAAAGGTAGCAGCAGCAGCAGCAGCAGCGGAACCGCCAGCAGCAGAAGCAGCAGAAGCAGAAACCGCAGCAGCAGAAGCAGCAGCAGCAGAAGCAGCAGAAACCGCAGCAGCAGAAGCAGCAGCAGCAGAAGCAGCAGCAGCAGAAGCAGCAGCAGCTGAAGCAGCAGCAGCAGAGGCAGCAGCAGCAGAAACCGCAGCAGCAGAAGCAGCAGCAGCAGAAGCAGCAGCAGCAGAGGCAGCAGCAGCAGAAGCAGCAGCAGCAGAAGCAGCAGCAGCAGAAGCAGCAGCAGCTGAAGCAGCAGCAGCAGAAGCAGCAGCAGCAGAAGCAGCAGCAGCAGAAGCAGCAGTAGTACCAGCAGCAGAAGCAGCTGCAGCAGCAGGAGCAGCTGCAGCCACAGAAGCACCAGGAGCTGCAGCAGCAACAGCAGTAGCAGCAGTAGCAGCAGCAACAGAAGCAGCAGAAGCAGAAGCGGCAGCCGCAGCAGCAACACACTCAGGAGCAGCTGCAGCAGACAAAGCAGCTGCAGCAGCAAGCACTGCAGCAGCAAGTACTGCAGCAGCAACAACAGCTGCAGCAGCAGCAGCAGACGCAGCAGCTGCAGCAGCAATTGCACCCGCTCTAGCAAACACAGCAGCAGCTGCAGCAGAGGAAGCAGCAGCAGCAGCAGCAGCAGATGCAGCAACAGATACAGGAGACAAAGCAGCTGCAGCAGCAACCTCAGCAGCAGATGCAGCAACTGCAGCAGCAGCTGCAGCAGCAGATGCAGCAGCACATGCAGCAGCAGATGCAGCAGCAGGTGCAGCAACTGCAGCAGCAGATGCAGCAACTGCAGCAGCAGCAGATGAAGCGGCAGAAGCAGCAGCAGCTACAGCAGCATACACAAATGCAGCAACCGAGGAATCTGCTGCTGCTGTTTCAATTTCAGCAGCAGCAGCAGCAGCAGCAGCACAAAAAGCGGCGACGATACACTCAGCAACAGCAGCAGCAGCAAGAAGCGCAGAGAAGAAGCTGTCGTTTGCTGCTGCTGCTGCTGCTGCAGCAACAGCTGATGCTGCTGCCCCTGGGGTGGGAACAGCAGCCGTCTTGCTAGAGCAGCAGCAGCAGCAGCAGCAGCAGCGGCAGCAGCAGCAGCACAAACAAAACGCAGAGTTACACCAGCAGCAGCAGGAGCAGCAGCAGGAGCAGGAGCAGCAGCAGCAGCAGCAGCAGAAGCAGCAGCAGCAGCAGCAGCGGCGGCACCGCCTGCATCTTCACCCGCTGCTGCAGCTGCTATCAAAGTTTCCGCTGCTGCCAGCTGCTCTATACAACAAACAGCAGCAGGCAAGCACAGCAGCAGCAGCAGCAGCAGCAGCAGCAGCAGCAGCAGCAGGTACTGCTGCTGCTGCTGCTGGCCTGCAGGAAGCAGAGCAACCCGCTGCTACCGCTGATGCCTTTTGTGAGGAGCAGCAAAACCAGCAGCAGCAGCAGCAGCAGCAGCAGCAGCAAAAGCAGCAGCAGCAGCAGCAGCAGCACAGTTTGTGGACATTGCTGGGGCGAATGAGATCGCGGGGTGCAGCAGCAGCAGCAGCAACGGCAGCAGCACCAGCACACTGCAGCAGCAGCAGCGCTTGCATGCGTTTGCTGCTGCGAACTGTTGCTGCTTCTGAAGCAAAAAAGGCAGTTGCTGCTTCTCCTCAGGGGGCTACTGCTGCTG